CCCCACGCCGCGGGGGCCGTGCGGCGAAGGCGAGGGCGACACCCCCAGAAGCCTCCGGAGGGAGCGGGGAGCGGAGACTGACCTTCCCTGTCAGCGGGCGCGGGGCCGGTGGGAGCACAAGTGGGAAGAGGGAGGAAAGGCTGCCGGCGGGTGAGCACAGAGCACTTACCCTTTCCAAGACGATCTCCTCGTATTTGAACATCCCATCGCTGCCGTTCACCTGGGGAGAGGGAGATGGCGCGTTACAGCTCTGTGCTGGTCCCGGGGGGATTTGCTTTTCCCCTCTGATAGCTGAATATTGAGAATCCAACCCTAAAAGCTGCACCATCACTGCTGAAAAAACCTTAAAATGCAATCGTGTGAGCCTGCCCTGGAATTAAACCGTGTGCTGCTTTTCTTTCTGGGTGTAAGCCAAAGCCCACTGACTTTAATGCACTTCAGCGCAAAGCCTTTATTCTCCTGGCTCACTTCTTCAGCTGTGAAAAGGAACAGAACCAAAGGCACAAAAAGAAATAACGCCTTTGTTACGCAGCATGTAATTAACCTCGGGAATTCACTGCTGCAGGAAGGAAAGAAAGGAGGTCGGTCCATTTAAAGGGAAAAAAAAATGTCTGTACATAACAACATAATAAAAACCTTTAGCAGCATATATCTTTTAAATATTTTAGTAGCACGACTGTGTTAAAGAGGAATTCAGAGTAATTTATTCTACTCAATTAGTTGGGTGCAAAGGAAACGAGGTGCAAGTGTGGGGCACAGTAAGAGGGGAAAACACTGTGATGCCCTTATATAAAACAATGGTGTGGCCTGTCTCAATGCTGTACACCATACTGATCCCCACGCTTAAAAATCTCCCATACACAGAGTGTCAAAGCAGGGCTCTGGGAAATGGCTTGAAACAAAAGGGATGCAACTGTAGGCTCTAAAATAAGAAATGGTAAAAGTACAGGTCAAAAACTTCCATTTTCCTGGAAGCAACAACACATGAGGTAGCAGTTTCACTCCAGGTCATCAGGATCAGGCCATAAACTGCTGCCGCCGAGGTCTAAAATTTAGCAAGATTTGCAAAGCAACTGGCTATTGCAACACCCAGAGCTGTTACACTCAACAGCAATAGTTTTGAGGGCGACTGGACTCAACCTCACAATTTGAGTCACACTGGGAAACGAGGGACGGGACGCGGGCAGGTCTGCGCGGCATGGCAGAGGCGGTGGGACCTGGGGCTCAGCAGGCAAACGTCTCCCCCACCACGCAGCCCTGCCTCTGCCTGCAGCCCCTGGACAACGTGCAGGGTTCCTCATGTGGATTTTACCTCCACCATTAATTGATGGCTTGTCGATCGTATGGAGCCGCTTTCTGTACATGCTCCGTGTCCCAAACTGGAGCTGCTGTGGCTTTGTTTGGACACAGGTCCCCTTACCCAGCGCCAGCAAGGCAGTTGTGTCCTGCTTGCCCAGCTCCCCTGCTACCCGCCCCTGCGGAGGCACAGCCTGGCCATCCTCCAAAACCCCACAGTGCTGGGTCGTTAGACGGAGTGGACAGCAAACATCATTTATGCTGAAGCCATCATCTGAGACCACGGAAGGAAACTCAGCAGGGCAGCTGTGAAGGCCTTATTTGTAGGTAGGAAGAGGAAACTGGAGTTTTTCTGGGTGGGAATTATCAGGTGCCCAGGTGGAAGAGCAGTTCTGCATGCCAGGATCTGGGATGGGGCTAAGCCACCTGCGACACACACACCCTCATCCCCTGCCTGGTTCAGCCCTGGCGAGGCCAAAGCAAGCCCACACCCTGCTGTGGGTACCACGCTTCAAGAAGGATGAGGCTGGGCAGAGTCCGGAGCAGAGAGATGGGATGGGGGCTCCAGGGAACCCGGGCTGAGAGGTTGTCCCTCCTTGGATATGGTCCGTGCCTGGTGCCTCTCAGCACCAGGAGAAGATTTTAGGGCACGGCTCAGGGTTGGGACATCCAGATGCTCCAATACTAGGATGCTCTGACCCTCTCAGCACATTGGGAAAGGCTTTGGTCAGCTCTTGAACAGGACCCCTCTGCAGAAAAGCACCAGGAGTGGTGGGATTAACCCACAGCAGGACCCCCAACAGCCTTGGAGGGACGGAGAGAGACGCGTGGCCAGTGCCACCTCCTGCCACAGCACCACTCTAGGCTGTGCTCCTGCGGGCAGGGGGGCATGGCTTCCCTCGCCACAGGCTCCCCCTCTGCCATGGGTTGCCTTTCCCTCATCCTACTGTACTGACTAATCCTGAGTAGAGCCGGCTTGCTGGCCCGCGACGCCCTCACAGCCTCCCTCGCTGCAGCCTCCGGGCTCATCTCATCTCCGCAGTTGGTAGCCCGGCGCGTGGGGCGCGGCGTCACCTCTCCCGAGCTTTCCAGCAACTCGGATTCCTGGCACCCTTCGCTACTACACACATTGTCCTCTCTGCTTTGGCATTCAACACAGTTGCCACACAGCCAGCCATATGCACACCCACGGCCGCAGAGGAACAGCACATACATACCTACAGATGGGGATGTGCAGAAAACTTTGACAATCTGTGAGCCACGGAGAGAGCCAGCAGCGCGCGAGCCCCGCCAAGCGAGCGGCCGCTGCCGGCAAGTGCCCAGGGCGCAGACACCGCGGCATACAACCCTGTCAGGCACCCTGCTGCCAGGCAGGTGAGTTTGGGGTATCCCCACTCCCCAAATCTCAGGGCTGCCAATGCTGAGCAGTGTTTTCCATCGCTCCCTGAAAGCGAGCGGCGTTGGTGCTCGCCCGGCATGGCGCGTGCTGGCAGCTGCCTGTGCCGGCTGGGCACAGCAGGGTCAGCCAGGCCTGACCATGAAGGTTTAGGTCTGATTGTGTTTCCAAAATCCATGCAACAGAACGCCAGTTAATTGCATAAGGAAGCCAAATGGAGAACTTAATATATACCACGTAACCAAGGGAACAAGCCAACAAAGCATCGGAAAATTGAATACTAGTCACTTACTGACGGCAAAACCTCCCTGCTGCACCCACCAGAGCTGCCGCGACCTGGCTCTGCCACAGGCTGTTCCCCTTCTCCTTCGCCGATGCCCTGTGCTCCTCCCCAGCTCCCATTTGGGGCCGTCTCAGTGATATGGGAGATGCCCAGCTCCATTGCCCCTGGGCAGGGAGAGCACACCCCTCCCTGCTCCGTAGCCCCATGTAATGCCTGCAGAGCTGACGGGGCTGTCGGGGGCTAATTAGCTGTTCCCAGCATATCCCGATCCTAAGCACTGTCTGATTCCTCATGGAAAAGAGTAAGGGTATTTTTTTCCAAGCCTTTCCCACACTGTGAGCCCACCTGAGGGCTCAGGAAGAGGCCCCTTTCGCTGGCCTTCACTTGCCTTTTGTGTTTTGAGCAGCAGGGAAATAGTTAGCGATGATGACATTTAAATCATCAACAGAAGGCTGCAGAGTTAACACTCATTCGATAAACAGAAGAGCACACACCTTCCAGAGCTACTGCAAGCTGTCTGCAGGCTCCGCCGGCCAACACCGCACCAGCGCACGTGGAACGTGCTTTGCAATTTGCTAGAGAGTCAGGATTTGGGGCTTTGTGGTTTTTTTTTTAATAAAAAAGGAGACCAAATTTAGAAGACTAAGGTGGCAGTCTAGGTTTGATTTTTTCTGTTTTTTTTCTGGCTTACAAGCAAGTTTTGCCCCGCTGAAAGGCACAGGACCGTGGTGGCTATCTCGGCTGCCCCCCGCAGTGACCGTGGCCGAGTCCGGGCTGCACAGCAGGTTGCCTCCATGCTCACCGGTGGCAGAGCCTGGGGCTCCTGCAGTGCTCACTGGCCAGGATCATGCCTGGGAAGCACTTGCTTTCCTCAGACCTGGCTTTTAGAGATCGGGGAGGTGGTGGCACCTCACTGCTGGGCAGTGGGGCACCAAAGGGGGGGCTCCGAGGACCCAGGCTATGAAACCTCCAAGTGCTCAAGGGCTTTGGAGTGACCTTCCCTGATCGGGCTTTGGAGTGACCTTCCCTGATCACTTCAGGACAGGCTGGCAAGCAGTTGCCGTGCATCCTGCACAGCAAGAAGTTGTTTCAGCTTCAGAGAGGCAGCTCTGAAATGCAGAGACCCCATCCGCTATGGGAACTGGGCTTCCAGTGCTCCATCTCCCTGCTACGGACCTGCTCGGTAAAATACACCAAGGGGTGAAACTGTGAGCAACGACCTGGAACTGGCACGGGTGATCCCCCCCAGCACTCATCCTTACCCTTCAAGGGATGCTTTTAATACAGCACGAATTTTATAAGGATTTACTTGCGTTTTTACACCCTGGGGGTGCTGGGCTCCGCACAAGCCGCAGGCAGCAGAGCTGAGCCCTGGCAGTGAGTGGGACCTGGTGCTGCAGCTCGTACCTTACGGTGCTGCTGGTGCCACATGCTCTTGGGGATGGAGGTGGGTGGACAGAGAGATTGAAATGTGGAGCAGCCTTCTTGATAAACAGCCGGGGCCAAATTCAGCCCAGTAGCTAGTCCAATGCAATCAATGGAGCTAGAACAGGAAGGAACTAGACTACATCCATCTGTTTATCATTAAGGAAAGCATTGAATAGTTAAGTAATTAAAGACTGGGAGATGGGACTTTAACCCTTCCAAATACATACTGTACCAACAGGCTTCAGCTTTTGGGTTTGTAAAAAAACACACTTCCAGATTTGCCATTTTGGTGTGCTCTTCTGCAGCAAGCCCCTAGTGTCACTCCTTTGCTTACCAGGGAAACTGCCAAATGGGAGGTTTTGGGGTGTGCTTTCCCTGGAGCCTGAGGAGCCCAGCACCCCGGAGAAGGAAAGGATGGAGCAGGGCTCGTTTTTGTGCTGGTATGACATGAAGTAGAAGCAAGAGGTTTCCAGGCTGGAGGCTGAGAGGAATCAAAGTGAGGTGTCTCCCCTGCCCTGGGCACCCCGCAGGCAGCACATGCCTGGGCACAGGGCTGGTGGTCCCCGCTCCACCCAGCAGACAACAGCTACAACCCACCCCTTCCTTTTGACCCCCCTGGCATGTGCTGCTGGGGTTGGATGGATGGGGTAGGTGACTGCCATCACCAGGGTGATGCTGGTGCCTGCCAGGGGTGCAGGGCGGCCCTGAAACCTGGCCAAACGCACCCCTGGGGCTGCAGGAAGGGAGCTCCTATCCAGCATGGCAACAAGGAGCTGTAGCCAAGGCACAGGGAGAAGGGGCGAATAGGGATATGGAGTTAATGAGGTGGAGGGAGAGGGAGTGGGAAGGATACGGAATGAGGCGGAGTGGGGGGAGACAGCCAGGAGGGCAGGAAGGTGGAGTGCACTGTGGTGGGAGGAGGCGGCTGCTGGCTCCATGGGCAAGGTCCCTGCTGCTGGCTTCTGCACGGCTTGGGAGCCTGCCTGGGGGTGACAGAGCCTGTCCTTGGCCCTGGGGCTCAGCTCTCACTGGCCTTGGGCACACAGGCAGGGAGGAGGGACAGGCACGGCTGGAGCCTGGCGAAGGATGTGGCAGTGGTGGATGCAATGGCGAGCAGGCAATATTCCACCAAGGGAGGGAGGGTACAAAACAGACGAGAAAGCAGACTTTTCATCCAGGAATACCTCCCTGCCCTGCCCACCACACACCTCTCGCTCGCCGCATTCCAAACTTTTGGTGTGTCCTTCCAGGAGACATCGCCCTTTTTCCAGTTCCCTGTAGAATGGCACCAGCCAGGTGACTGCAGAGAGCAGGCTGCATCGTGGCACTGCCCTGCAGCCCAGCGTGCTGTGAGAAGCCACCAACCCCACAAACACCCTGCCATGCCATGCGTTTGGAGAAGGAAACCTTTGGGGACAGCAACTCTCTTCCACATTCATACAAAGCTGCTGGACCCAGGACCACCACACGGAGAGAGGCATCATCGCCTTCCTCCCCAGTGCCAGCTGGTTTTGGTTCATAAAAACCAAAGGCTTAATTAAACCATACAGCCGGGGTTGCAGAGGTCTCAGCTGGGCTTCCCTTCCGTTTTGTAGCCCTGCCCAACCAGCCCAGCACAGCTCTGATGCACACTGACCCCACCACAGGCTGTGGGCTGAGATCTGCAGTTCTTTACAAGGAAGGTTCAACCACCAGAAGACACCTGCAGCCCTCCACTGCAACTCCAAAGACAAACCAACCTCAGCTCTGAGTCCCAGTGCCACTTCATTAATGTGGAAGGCAGCTGAAATTTGCTGCATCAGAAGAAAACCAGGCACAAAGCATCCAGCCCTGGCAAGCTGTCAACTGAGCTCCCTTTGAGGAAAAAAAGGGGAGCACCCTATGAGCACGGAGCCAGTGCTGCAGAAATCTATGCTGGCCATCCTGTTCCTGCAGGAATAATTCACCAATGCTCTGGGAGGGGATGCAGCAGCGCGCAAACACTCTCTGCAACAAACCGAGGAGGATTATCTTTATACTATGCCAAGAGTGCCAAATGCACCGTGGCTGCAAACACTCATAGTCACCAAGCACTGCTCAGCTGCTGACAGCCTTTGCTGGGAGAGGAGCAGCATCTGACGGGTCCTGCTGCCCTGAGGAACAGCCAGCGCCCGGAGAGCCCTGCCTCCCTCCTGAGGGGCTGGGGCTGCTGTAGGGGGCTGAGGCAGTGCAGGAGGGTAAGGGATGCCCCAGCAGAGCCTCGCAATCACCCTGCATGGGAGGCTGAAGAAATGGCTGTGTGGGTAACCCTGAATGCAGCCAGCCCACCTCCCTCTGCTCCTCTGATGCCTGCTTACCCCACAGCGTGCCCCTCTGAGTGCCTCCTGCCTTGTACCTTCCCTGTGCTGGAGTCCCCAGCATCGCTTGCTGCTGGGCTCTGCTCAGCGTCACCCAGCCCCAGCAAGGTTTGGGGGTGGGATACGCTGTGGGGATGTGGCGCAGGTACCAGGCTCCTCTGCCACCTTGCTGGGGACTTCTTGGGCTGGAGGAGCCTTTCCTGCACTGCCAAGCAGGGAAAAAGCACCGCTTGTTCAAAGGAAGGGAAACAAAACCAGGAGACTTACAGAGAGCCCTTGTTCCAGCGAGTCTGTGTTCACGATAATGGGAGCAGGGTTGGCCTGTGGGGAGACAAAAGCAGGATGTCACTGATCTAAGCGATGAACCCAGCCCTTTGCGGTGCACTGCCTCTCCCCTGGCTGTGCCACCACAGGCAGAAGAGAGCAATTCAGGAAGGGCTTGGCTCTTGTCCCTCCTCCAGGTGCCCAACAGCCCTGCAACAGGAGCAGGGCCATAGCACGGCTCTGGGCACTGGTCCCCTCCTCAGGGCTGGTGTGTCCCCAACACCCCATGGCCTCGGCTGCTGGGAAGGAGACAGGGAAGACCAGAAACTCTCCCAGCCTCAGGCCAGAATCCCACCAGCACCAAAATTTACCTGAAATACACATTACTGAGGGATTAGGAAATAGGAGGAGGGAAGGAAGTCCTTCTAAGGAAGGGATAAATTGACAGCAGACCAGCCCTGAGGCCTTCACGCACCTTCCAGCAGCTGTTGCTGCCCCTCCTAAGCGCAGGGCCACCATACCCTGAGAGAGCAGGCAGCACTTGGTCCTCCATCTTCCTCACCCCTGGGGTGAACCCTCCGCTCGGCAGCCTCGGGTCATCCCCACCACCACCACATGCGTCCCCCCTCTCTTGCAGGGCTCCCCATGAACCTCTCTCCGGGTTCCCGTTCTCCTGGGCTGCCCTCTGCCCATGAGCTCGCTGCACGTCGGAGGAGGGACGCGCAGGTGGGAGGAGGCAGGGACAGGCCCGACGGGCCGCTG